TAAAAACAGACCAAGAATCAGCAGCGCTCCTGAAGCAAGAGAGACAATCGCCTCTCGTCTTAGGAAAAGGGAGATGGGAAAAACGCGAGTCCCACCAAAAATAAATTATCATGAAACTAGCAATTTTGATATAACATCAGAAGACCCAGAGAAGGCACAAGAAACGGGAAATGGAGAACAGGGGGACGACGAAGTCTTCCTACCAGTTCCAACACCAGGACCGTCGACGAGTAACCTAAATCCAGACATTGGCCAAGAAGGGGACGACGAGGCAGAGAAGGACGAGGAAGCAGAAAAAGAGATCGAAACAATCGTTCCACAAAAACAGCGAAGAAAAACACGCGAACTAGTAAAAATGTTCGACGAAATCCTCCAAAGGCGGCCTCCATCGGAAAATATCTACACAGAGAGAGCACTAGAAAGAATCCGTAGAGAAGAAGCAATATTTAATTATACTCCTCAAGAGTATGCCGGGATAAAACGAACTAGTTCCGATACCGCGAAAAATATTCGCCAATCATTAAGCAAACTTCCACCTCTCTGGCGAAGCGAAGATGACTCGTTAAATGAGGATACAGCACCCGAAATTAACGTCGACGAATTTCTAAGAGATAACAGCGATCAGCCTGAAGAAGGATCAAGCGATATCAGTCCAGAAGAAACCGGAGGAATCGAAGACCTCAGCGAAGTGGAGAATCCCATTATCATTGAGCCAAGGCCTTCGACCTCAGAAGACGACATCAATGCAAGAAACGTCATCGATACAGATGATGAAGAGAATGAATCCGACAAAAATACTCTAACTCCTCGAAACGTAAATCGATCTCGATTCATAGGGTATTTAGGAGACGGTCCAGAACCCCGAACTCCAATTTTCGGAAGAGTTCTCATACCTGATGAACTAGCGGCTATGGGTATACGTTATGACCACGCAAGCCGCCAAATCGTAGATGAAAACGGTAAGGGAATAAATGAAACGGCCGAAACCGAATCGGTCGACCCTAATAACATCCCTATTGAATCGGAACAGGGACGAGCAAGCGAAAAATCGTCACATATAATTAGACTAACGAGTCCACAAAATTACAATAAAAATAAATCGCAAGATAGTTCAGAAAAATCCAGCGATTCAGATAAAAACAAAAATAGGCCAACTACAAGCGGGAATGCAACAGTGGGGGATGACGCAGGGAACCGCCGATTCGGACCACCCTTTGTTGCCTATGACCCTCCAACCTTCGAAGAGGCTGAAGATATTTTTGCTGAAAGGCGCCATCGACCAAGAATATCTTCACCCTCGAGTTCAGACGAAAGTATACCGCAAAAAGGGCCCGAAATACAAATCAAATTCTCAATCAGCCGAGACGGGCTTACTTATGCCCGAGATCATTTAGTTCATTTTTTAGCAACCGATTGCGAAATAATAAAACCCGTAGCTAAGCTGCTTCGCGACTTGAAATTTATAAATGCCGATGATCTTCATGCTTCAAAACCTACAAAAGGAGACGTATTCGTCACCAAATTAGGTCGTTGCAAAATTTTTACGGTATTTATCAAAACAAAACATTTCGAAAAATTAGATCCCATCGATCTGATCGAAGGATTGAGAAATCTTCGTCAGTCGATGCATAAACACGATATTCATTCGCTTCGCTGTGCAAGGCAGGGGGACGAATTCGATGATTTAGATATTCGGGCTTATTTATTACACGAGTTAAGAGATTGCCCGATAACGGTTACCTTGTGCGAAGGGAACGTCGAGGTACCAGACGAATCCCTCCGAACAAAAATAATCGAAGAAAATCATAACAGCTTAATAGGCGGCCACAAAGGCGTTGTAAAAACGTATTGGCGTATTCGCGAAAAATATTACTGGCCGGGAATGAAAGATAAAATCTATAATTACATTCGGGCATGCGAGATATGCCAGAAAAATAAACTAACGCGAATAAAAACAAAACAGCCTATGTCTATCACAGACACACCTTTCGAACCTTTTGAAAAAATTAGTATAGACACGGTAGGACCCTTACCTATGACCCCTGACGGAAACGTACACATTTTAACCATCCAGGATAATTTTTCCAAAGCAGCTGCGGCGGTTCCTCTACCTGATATCAGAGCAGTAACCGTCGCAGATGCCTTATTGAATCATTACATTGCCCTTTACGGGTGCCCCCGCGTAATTCTATCAGATAAGGGCACCTCATTTACAAGTAAATTAATTCAACAGCTAGCTAAAGCATTAAAAATTCAAAGAATAACGACTTCCTCTTATTATCCACAATCGAACGGAGCCCTGGAACGATCTCACCAGCCTCTAATCGATTACCTCCGAGCGTATGTAGATAAATTTAGTAACTGGGATC